CAAACCTGTACAATTTTACAGGACGTTAATTTTGCTACTAAATTAATAAAAAACCTACCTCGTATAATAGTGATAAACCTTATACATATTGAAAAAAACGAGAACATAGAGAAGAGTCAAAAATTGTAAAAATATACAGGATGTTCCATTAAAAAAAGAAAATCTTTTTAGAGTATGTTCTTATCTATGCTCCAACTTTTACGTAAATAATTTTTTAGTATCTCTTACAACAATTGAGTAATTTCAATTCCTCGCACTAATTGCGCACCATGCATGCATTAAGAAATATCTTTACAGTTTTTACAAGAACCCAACTGAACGGTCAAAAATGACGAGCATTTCTTAATAACTTTTATTGCCACTTCAATTAGGTATTTACGAACACGTTCATGTTTGTTCTGGACAAATTGGTCTATCGGTCGTTTATGTCCTAAACCAAGCTTTTAAAATATTGTTTTACGTAATAAGGCATGTCTTAAGAAGGCTCCAAATATGCTCTACAGGATTAAAATTTAATATTTGCCAGTAGATCGATCTGGTTCAAGTGCTTGATGTGCTATTTGTCACAGTAAAACGAACAACATCCAGTTTTGTCGCCACATCCCCTACACTTTCACAATGTTCGAATAACATTTCAACCTGATCAGCTTTTTGCCAAATATTTCTTCTTCTTTTTAGCCTTCTATTGTCCATTGTTGGACATAGACCTCTCCCAACTCCGTCAATCGAGCTTTTGATCCTGAGCAATGTACGTTCAATTTGTTCCGGCTATTTTTCTGATGTGATTTCATCTGTGATCGTCCTCTTGATCTTCTACCTTTGTAAGACCTCCAATGTTGTATTGGGGCGTTCTAATGTTGGCCTTTTTGTCTAGCAGTGCAGCAGTATGGCAAGCACTTTGTACATTACCTCTAACAAGGATATTCCTCTATAGTTTGCGGATTTAGTTATATCTCCCCTTTTGTGTATAAGAATGATAGTGGACTTGTTCCATCCTTTAGGTATTTCTTTGGCATCCCACACTACTTTTAGCTCATTTAGTTGGTTTTTTAAAGCCTCTCCTCCATATTTTAAGTTCTCTGCCACTTTGCCGGGTTTGATTTTTTATACCTTTTATTATTTCTTCAATTTCTTTTCTTGTGGGCTTTAGTTTTTCTTCTACTACTATTTGGGGTTTATAAACATTATAATTTTCTTCAGTGGTCACTCAGTCATTTAGCGGCTCTTCGAACTATTCTTTTCATGTTTCACATATTTGGTCTTTCTCCACTATCAAGTTTCCTTGCTTATCTTTTACATTCATCCTTCTTACCTGGTACCCAGTTTTAATGTATTTTACCCCTTTGTAAAAAATGTTATTTCATTTTTCTTCAATACACTTTACTTAATATCATCCATATACTTTCTTTTCCGCGCCCTTGGGATTTTCTTTACTTGTTTTCGTTGTTCTGCATACCTTGCTAGGTCGTTTTATTTTTGCGATCGCAAACTTTTTCATCTCAAATCTGATCGTTTTTTCTGTTCTGCATTGATCATCGAACGAGTGGTCTTTTCTAAATCTTTTTGTTCTTGGGATGTTCTTCGACGTTGCTTTCTTTATAGTGTTTGTAATTTTCAAGAACTTTTGTTGTATGTTACTCGCAGTAGCACTATCTTGTTTGGCGTAGGTTTCTTGTATATCCTTTTGATAATCTTGCACTACCTCAAATCTTCGCAGTTTTAAAATTCGCTTGCAAATGCATTTTGCAAGGTAAAATTGAAGATAAAATGGCCCCAGGACGAAGACGAACAATAATATCCTGGCTTGCTAACCTGAGAGCATACGGAAAAGCTCAACACAGCTATTCCGTATAGCAACCAACATAGCCAGAATGATCGCCAACGTTCGGAACGGATAGGCACTCTAAGAAGAAGTAGACATGGAAATATCTCTGAACATGTTTTGATGTGTTCTACAAGCCGATGCATTACAAAATTCTTCGATTTTCCAAAGTGTACCATCAAGAGCTATAATTTCTGACCCAACAGGAATTTGAGAAAGCACATCGTACAAAACAATTAATGCTGCTCTGACCGGTGGTTAATTACGGCCAAGTCTACTCCCACCTCTGCTTCGTCGATCACGTCATCTGCTTTCTGCTGATAGACTGTCGTTATTCACTGAAAAGAAAATTCATTCTACACCAGAACGACAAAATACATAAAAGTACGAAATAGTATCATCTTATAAGATAAGAACATATATAACATACCTTACTCCTTATACCATACTCTCAGACTGAAGCACTGTGAGTTAAGTGTCGTCATCGGACGTCGAATTACCTTGGTCTGGTTCTTTCCACTCTTTGTCAGATAGTTGGGTCTAGGATGACTCTTCCGCGCTTTAAGGTATTTTCGTAAAAATAACAAAAAATTAGTTATCACAGTAGACATATAGTTTTGAGTATGTAATGTACCCGATAATTCACAAAATGTCATAAAATTTTAAGGGTGTAACGAGTATAGAATATTTACTGCACATGGATGAATTTTCAAATTGGTCAAAATTTAAATGGCCGCGCTTCTAGTGTTAAAAAATTCAAAAATTCGATACTAAAACTCAAAATCGAAAGGAAATTTTTGATAAAAATATAAGAAGATTTACTTTCATACTACACTTGTCTTTGCACTACCTGTGGGCTTCTGGTTTGAGGATCTGTGGTCTCCATCGATGTATTTTAGATTCCCTTGTTGTTCCGCCGGGTCCCATCAGGAGTCCCATAATTCGCTTGGTCTGTGTCGCCATATAATATAAAAAAGAAAAGAATTTATGCTATTCTTCTTAAAGCATAATTGGATTACATTGCCTCCTGGAGTGTGAGAAGAAGGAGAGTGTCATGGTTGAAAAATTTAAATGACTGGTTTAGATGCAATCCAATGGAACTCTTCAGAGCAGCGGTAGACATAGTAAAGATAGTAATGATGATATCCAACCTCCGATTGGGAGGCGGCACATAAAGCAGAAGAACTATCCAATTAAGTGTTCCAAATCCATGCCACTCTTGCTCTTCTAGTGGTTTCCACACTTTAGTTCTCCTTGGCAAGTTTCAGAATTTGGATTAGGTAGCTATTACACAGCTTGGGCGATATTAACTCGTCTTGTTGCCAAATTATTATTAAATTCATTACGCTATACGAATGTTATAGTAAGCTAGATACTAAGATGCTATAGAACTTGTTAAAATATACTGGTTTAGCCAGTTCGTAAAACAACAAATATCGTGAATTTTGCGTAGAATTAAACAAATATTTCTGAGATTGTAGTATTAGATCATTTATACACTCAGTCTACTCCACAATATACCATACAACTAATGATAATTAACATAGAAAATATTTAAAAAACTGATAATCGTTTTGGTTGATGTTTATGACCTCTCTGAGTTCTATACACAATAGAAACCTTACCACAAGCACGAAAATATTGAAAATGTGAAATATAAACTTCACTTGAGCACGTAATTTCTCTATGCTATAAATACATATTACTAATTTACTTATTACATAGACCTGGTTGATTCTAAACAGTGTGATAAAAAAAATGGATAATAAAACGTGATTTTTTGATCGCTTTCAGATTTCTAAACCGAATTTTTCCTTATCCTATGCAATTTTTATTTTATGTCTTCATTTTTAATTATTGTATTTTTAGTTACTAGAATTTAGTTTGATAAATAATTTAATTGTTCCAAAACGTCTATTATGTTACTACACTACAACCAAAAAATATGGTTATAACTTTTTAAAGACCCTGTATAATATAAAACAACTTTTTAGTCTTGTAACGAGGAAGGGTTGCGGATTTTAAATTTAAAATAAAATACAGGGTGTACACCGTTAATTTGTTTATCCCGGAGAGCAATTATTTAAACAATTGTGCTTGCCCAAACAGTGACTTTACAAGTATTTAGCAGATCTCAATCGATTGTTTCAGACTTCAATTTTAAGATTTGTTAAAAAAACTTTTATCCTTGTCAAAATATTCGTACTTATACCTGAAGGTTTAAAGATTATAAAGCTTTTTGTAGAATTGTAATTCATTTAGTAGTTTTTTTTAGAAAAAAAATACCTAATGTAAAAAATCACTAATGCATTTTTTCAACAAAACAAAAAATTGCAAATAACTCGAAAACAAGCAATTTTCAAAAATTACCAAGCGAGAAAACGTATTAAGGCGCGTACAGATATGCGAGCCAAACTGTATACGTACCGTACGCGTACAGATCCATGAAAATATATCTACATCGTACTGATCGCATAGTTATCTCGATCCATGGATAGCGATAAAACCAACAACGAATACACATGTGCGAAATGATTCATTTTATTTATAATTTGGTTACTGATTTATCGTGTTTCTCTTTCTTACAAAAATAAAAATATGTACAATAATCAGTTTACTGTTTTCTCACGTCTCTCTAGGAAGGAACACGTCATTCACACAATGTCGATTTGATGAGACAATAAAAATATTCGCCGCGTCTAGTAGCGCCGTCCAAACTGAAAGACGAGCTTCTTTTCAAGTCGTGGAATAAACCGCAACAATTTGGTTCGCGACGAGTCACGATGAAACAGTACGCATACAGTACGAAAGCGGTTTTTCCTGCCGTACACATTAACGAATATAGCGTTCGCATACCGTATGCATACCGTTTGGCTCGTATATAAGTACCGAGCTTTAGCTTTGATGAGATACGTCTAAAAAAATTGCTTGAAGCGATTCGGAAAATTGTTTTTTTTTATAGTTATTTGTTAATAAAAATTTTCAGCCCACTTGGAAAAATAAAAAAAAATTCATTTGAATTTGAAAAAATATATAAAATTGAATAAAAAAGGTTTGGTGCGGTAGAAATGCAAAAAAAATTAGTATATTTCGTTTCGAATCGTCTTTTTAGGGGTTAAACCGCTCGCCTAATATTATTAGTTATTGGTGGTCACACTATTAACTAATGTTTTTTTAGGATGACGTCTCTGCTGGTCCAATGTCTCACAACATGAGCGTACGAGGAAACGTCTTGAACAGGGTTGGACATCAACAAGACAAATGGAAGCGACAAGTCAAAGAGCAGAGGAAAAATATTTACGACCGGCATACTATGTTAAATTAAGCTTTTTTCTGTATCTATTATATCAAAAACATTGCATTTTTAAACTAAACGGGAAATAAGGGTGTAACTTATCAAATAGTAGAACAAATGACACAAAGCGATGCGAAAAATTAATTTAATGGAAACATTCTGAAATTACATTAGTTTAATGTAAATATTCTGTAAACAACTGAAAATATCATAGAGTAATAATATTTCAAATATTTGTGTCCTTGTTTGTATTTTATACATGTATACTACACAGTATCTCCTGTTTTCGTTAATTTTCAACATACATATAAAGTTAAGGCGTCAGTTTAAGTAGAAAGGGGTTATGACTTGAAGATTGCAGCAAAGAATATAGACTTGCAGGCTATTTAATGTCGGTAATGTAGATTCCATATTTTCCTGCATTTAGCAGTGAGTAGTTTAAATTTCATATGCGGTTATCAAAAGAAAACCATTGAAGTTATTCATATCATCAACTATTTCACTTTTGCAGAAGTAATTGTAAGTTTCAAATATGGAATATAATTTAAAAAGCAAGCATTTAAACGTATTAAGACTGATAGAATGCTGAGAAAAAACTGAAAATTTCATATATATTGTTAATCAGTTAAACACATTCAGATCTTGTTGTGAGAGTAAACTATAACTGAAAATTTCTCTTGATAAGTCTTTCAACAACGGCAACAAAGCTTTTCCAAAGTTAAAAATTAATGGAATGTTTTTGTATATATCAAAAAATTGTAAATAATAGACTGAAATTTATTGAGTCGCTTTATTCTAAAATGATCCGAATACGTAATAGTAAGGTATAAAAAATTAAAAAGACTAACTCCAAGTTAAATGAGAAATGTTATATATATAGCACTTTATACATATCTCAACGAGTCACCAAGGACCTCCTTTTCTTTGGAAAAACGCTGCTTGTCCAATAATTGCTTCCATATAGTGAAACGATGGTAATTCGAGGGAGCCAGGTGTGTAGAGTAAGGTGGATGAGTCCCAATGATCTATCCATACAACTCAAAGACTTAATCGTTTTTTTTTTCGATTTGATTTAACTTTTTTAATGTTTATAATATAGAACAACTTATTACAGGTCCTTTGAATATTAAATCATCTGAAATATCTCTTTGAAAACCTACTTTGACATTATTACTGATGCACAATATAAACGGCGCCTCAAGAAGATTGTGATACATATGATGATAAGAAATTTCCCATGAGTTTGAAAACTTTTTACTGTAGTGGTTTCTTCGTCGCCCTTTACGCACTCGTGTCATGTCGTTATATTTAGCTAAAAGTTGTTAATCTGAGCGAACCAGGACTGGGAAGGTGGATTAGACTCAAAGATCGATTGAAACGGTACGAAGACTTTTATTTTTGTCTTCAATTTTTTAACTTATTTAGAGTTTACAATAAAAATACCTTTCATGATTTTCGATTTAGAAATTACAACGATCAATAAAATCCCTTTCGGATTTCAATCGGTTTCAAGGATTTTTGTGTGTGAAAGCGTTCAGAAATTCGATTCTTACGATTTCCTTCGTAATTTTTACCGTATTTATATGATATATGTTCTCTCAAAAATTACTTTAATTTAATGAAAATATTGTAGTTCCAAAAAACCAAGTCTGGGAAATAAGGTGGATGAGTCACAATGAGTTATCGGAAAATTCGTATCCCTATTCATCTTCTGTCTTTAATTTTTTTAAATTATTTACGGTTTATAATATATAACAGCTTTGATGGTGATCATGTTGGGAGCGAAAAGAACTAATAAAATCCATCTCGGGTTCTAAATGATAACTACCGAATTTTTTTTTGTCTAAATACTTACGTTGAATATGATGACTTATTAAAAATTGATGCGGCGCCATTGCAAAGACTGAATTTTTGCCTCAGATGTGTAGCAACACACCTTTCATCCCATCAGAATTGAATCAAAAAATAATTTACCATCAGTTTGAAAACGTTCGAGAGATTTCATTTTTGGGGCGTCCTTCGTATTTTTACACTTATTGGATTTCTAATTTCGCCTGTAACAATGCCTGATCCAGTTCGAGGTCTCTGTCTCCATCTTGCCTTATTGTTTCATGCAACACATACTCGTGACACAATTAGTATTTGTCTTATAGCGGTGTAGAAAAGATGATTTTGGTTCTTTTGAACCAAAAAGATTATTATAAGTTTGTTTCTTCCTTATTTTCGTATTTTGAAAATGTTTGAGACGTTCCATCTTCGTGATGTACTTCGTATTTCTCTTATCTACCTCGAGATTTCTTTGTCATTATTTTTCGAGCAGCGTATTCAAATAACACCACCTTACAGTGGCGTAGACAAAGGGCCTTGTAAATGTGTATCTTAATGTATGTATGATATTTTATTTTACAATTATTAAGTATTACAATTTGTGATTCCGAAAATCTTTCATTTTTGACATTCTTAGATCTCAATATACGGCAAGATCTGTCTTTTATTTTTGCCCAGCATTTTCCAGTTTTCCCTTGAGTTTTATCGTACAGTGGTGTAAGAAAGGTATATAATTTTATATCTTGGATATAATTTCTGTTGTGTAATTTTCCTATTTATTTAATCTTTTATATTTTTGTGCATTCGCTTCAATCGAAGTTTTCTATAATTTTTAATTTCTTTATTATTCTTGCTGTACACTAAAATGAGCTAACTTGGAGTTAAAATAAGCTAATAAAGAATATATATTATTTTGTTGTGTATTAGGCACCAAGTTTTTGTTGAATTTCTCCTTTAAGGAGTGTGTATATAAATGAATTCCTATCTGTATATTTATATGTAATTAATAAGGTAATAAATACTCTGGTACCAAGTGTTAGATGTTTTTATTTCTTCCTCTGTTAAAATATTTATCTAGAAAATATTTCTACGGAAGAAATTAATCTCAAACTGAGAAATATATTTTGTTCTTTGCTGACCAATTTAATGTGAATATTCAGTAGGTAGATATATTTGAGATTATACAGGGCTGGAACTAAAACGAGTGAACATAAAATAGATACATCTTACAAAACGCTGCAAAATATTTAATTCGGGCAAGAGACAGTTATCACAGTGCGAGTTTAGGACACTTATTATGAATTAATGAAAGACGACCCCTATTGTCAGTGGCTAAGTGAAATATAAGTAGGAGGACGCCAAGATCGGAGATGAAATTCGATAGAGTCTGACATAAAGAACTAACATATAAAATGAGAGGATGTGGATACAGTAGAGCCATTACGAGACTGATCTCTTCGTGCTTGGGCATTTGGAGCCTCAAAGTTCGACAAGCACAAATTCTGTTTGAAATGGGAACTCCTGAGTCTGGAGTACCACAGGGAGCGGTCCTGTCACCCTTTTGTATACAATATACAGCGCCGATGTTCCAAGAACACCTGAAACACAACTCTTCCTTTATGGCGACGACACAGCAGAGAAGAATGGAGCATACAATGCAAAATCGCCATAAACTCAGAAAAAACGCAAGCAGTACTCTTCAAAAAGAAGACAAAACCCGGAGGAACAACTGACTGTGCAAAACAATCTCATCAAATGGAAAAGTGGTGCAAAATACTGTGAGTAAGTGGGTCATAATAGATCACGGTTAAACATTCAAAAAATGTGTATACTTCATCTAATTTACTTACCTTGCACGTCATCCGCGTCATAGTCCGTGAGGTCACATGATACCAACACAAAATATTTAGGCGGTAAGTGTGTTCTTTTTTAGAATCACTTTACCGAGTACACTGGCATTACAGCCACTAGACATATTTTATTATATACGCGTAGAAATAATATTTAAAGATTTCTATTAATGTTAACTTAAAGAAATACACAATAATATGTTTCATTTAATTTGTATAAATGAATTATAAAGCGTTTTTATGAAAAACATATGTTCGGAGTACACTGTAACTGTAATCGAACGAAGGTGATATTTTGGCATAAATTGGTAACACTTATTTGACAGTTGCGGTGTTGACACTTTTTCTACTTTATTATTTTGAATTTTAAAGTGAATACCTCTTGTTTTATATTTTTACCTATTTAATAAAATCTTTTCTTTTTAGAACAAAATTAGTGTTTTATTTAAAACATGTCACGTAAGAATTTACATAGTGGTTGTAAAGAGATGGTAATACTTTTGCAATAATTTTGTGACCTATTTGATTTCAAATGGAGTTAGGATTTTTTTATACTTTGGCAACTATGTCAACTTCGATCTCTGGCAATGATAATAATGTACAACGGTAAGTAAATTAGATGAAGCATAGACACAACATTACAAAAAGCAAAAATGGCTAAAGCATCAATAAGAGGACAGGGAGAAAAAGTAAACTACGAATAAAAACAAAAATTAGATTGATAAATAGCATCATACGCATCTCTCGCATGGGGACATGTCTACAACACAAACAAAAAGAGAATACAATCGGCCCACAACAGGAACCTAAAAGAATCTGTAAATATATCCAGATACTTCGCTGAACGTTTTCTATTCAGAGAACTTCAGCAAGTAAGAGAGATAGACACGATGGTCGGAAAATCCAGGATTACATAAGATCGCTAAACTGGAAAACCAGATATTGCAAGAAATAATTAGATATGACTTGTAAACCAGTAGATAAGTCCGTAGCTTTATTAATGTAGATATTCACAGCACTGAGTAAACCGACTAGCAAGATTTTATTTCAGGACATCCTTAACAAAAATAATTAAAAAACGGCTTCGACCAACAAAGAAATTTAAAAATTACTAGCAAAAGGCGGAAGCCCCCAAAAACAAATTAACAAAATCCAGGCATGAAGGGCCCAAATGTTCGAGTATCAAGTTACCGAACTGGGCGTAGCCCAGAGCTGAGACTTGGGACCCGTGCAATCAATTCAGACAAACAGATAAGTCACCAGAAAAAGCAGGAACAAGCGACTCACGCTAGCCTGCATTGATCGGTTAGAATATCATGTTGGAGTTCTTGTACTCAGGACTCCCACACGAACATTTGGCCGATAAGAGTACCCCTTTTGCGCATAAGACGGCTATAGGGAAAAAGGGATGGTCTGGAGCATTGGAGCGCGGTGGAGTGATTCCTGTTTCACACGATTTAATACACCTCGCTCCAATGAATTTTAACACTCGAATGTCATACTAAGCGGTGTAAAAATCTTTCAGGCTGGGTTAAATTAAATTACTTGTTTGCTACCGGAGATGAAAAGATGATGTAGACAAGGGTGCAAGATTGAAGCAGCAATGACAGGAGTGACTAGTGAAACAGACTATGTAAGTTATAAATGATTTTTTTTAAATACAATACATATGTAAGGTCGAGAGTAATAGTAACCATTACTTAGAACTTTCGTTATCTGTTTTCTCCCGATATGTTAAATGATGATACGACTATTGCAATCCTTATCTGTTTTATTAGCCAACTGCGATTGTTATCTAAGAGTCGAATTGTTATTCAAATTAAAACGTAACATGTTGAAAATAACTCACAAAATATTTAACTAAAAACTTAAAGAAGTAATTTGGAAAATAACATTTAAATATTTCTAAGTGAAATACGTTGCTGCAAATGTATCATTGAATTTAGTGACAGAAAGAACATAAAAATAGTATGTAATACACGGACGATGTCAGGGGGGTTGTGGGGGTTTAAACTGCACCTCGTCGAGAAGGAGTTATTAAAGAATCTTAACATTTATAAAATTAAAATAAGGACAAGCGTGCGGCATATCTCATTGATTCTTCTTCTTCTTTACGTGCCATCTTCTCGACGGAGGTTAGCAATCATCATGGCTATTCTGATCTTAGATGAATAGTTCGATTGATGTGCATCCATAACATTCCCTCAAGTTACGCAACCATGAGATTCTTCTCCTTCCCACATTTTTCTCCCCTGAAATTTCTCTTGTATAATTAATCGAAATATGTTGTATCTTTCGTTACGTATAACATGCCACAGGTATTGTAGCTTTCGTGTCTTGATGGTTTCCAATATTTCCATTATTTTGTTGACTCTTCTCATGACTTCGTTGTTTGTTACATGCTCGATCCATGATTTCAGGATTCTTCTATACACCTACAGTTCAAATGCTTCCAACTTCTTAGTAGTCGACACGTTAAGTGTTCATGCTTATATCCCGTAAAGCAGAGTCGAGAAAATATAACACCTTGCCAACCTAACTCTCAAGTCTAATTTCAGTTCTCTTGCACAAAGTACCTTTCTCATTTTATTGAAGTTTGTTCGTGATTAATTATTAGGCCAAAATAATTGTAGTTTTTAACTTATTCTAAAGTTTTACCGTTAATTGTCAGGCTTTCATCATTATTTTGGATTTTTGATATCCTCATAAATTTAGTTTTCTTGATGGTTATTGGTATTCCATATTCTTCTCCATACTCAACTATCTTGTTCATTAGCTTTTTGAGGTCTTGAGGGTTGTTTGCTATTATGATAGTATCGTCCGCATCTCTAATGTTGTTAATTGGTGTTCCATTGACCTTTATTCCTGCTGTTTCTCCCTAAAGAGCTCTTCAGAATTTCTTCAGGGTATGCATTTGATAGTAGTGGTGACAATACACACCCCTGTCGCACTCCTCTTTTAATTTCGAACACTTCTGATGTGTGTTTGTTAATGCGCATGTGTGCCTGTTGTTTATAATATAAATTTGTTATAATTCCAAGG